TTTGGTAGAATTCCTTGAGAGTTTTGCAGACCCAAAGGAGTTGGCTCGGTTCCATGAGTGTGACATCACAGTCATCACTTTCGACCAGATTGGCAGCAACGGGAACCGAGAGTGTTTTCCAATCATCGTGCTTTCAGACTCTCAATCGTGCCTGGCCGCACTCAAGAACCAAGGATTGTCCCGAAGGGTCAGGCACATGTCGCTTGCAACATGCTTCATTCAAACCCTTGTTGAATCAGGTCATTTGGTCCTTGTTTGGGTTGCTGGAAAGTTTTGTGTTGCAGATTTGTCGACAAAGATTTTGGGGAGAGATCTGACTGAATTCCACCGATCCCAAATGGGCATCATCGAGGTTGTTGCGCCAGAGTTTTGGCAACATACCACTGAGAAAGAAATCCAGAAGAAAGCAAAGAAGCAAAGCTTCGAAAGGGACAGACGAACGTCCCAGCATCGAACAGGTGCTTGACGAGTTGGCTGACGTACAGCCAGAACATGATGATGTTGTGTCTTCCTCAACTTTTGCGGTTTTGAAAACGATGCCGGTTGAGAAGAAGCTCCAAGTTTTTGCACGTGACTTGGGTTTGCTCGGAGCTCAAATTCGATCGAATCGGGTGACACGCGTGGTGATTGAGCTTTTCACCACGACCAAGGCAGGATTTTCACAGTTGAAAGGCCACCAGGACTTTAAGCAGCTGGGAATTGTGGCGGTGACAGAGGAATTTGATCTCCTCTCCGTTTGCTCGTGTTTGATTGACTGGGTACACACGATTCAGCATGAGCACCCCGCAGTTCTTTTTGCAACTTGGTGCAGTCCGCCGTGTACAGGTGGAAGTCCTGTCCTCAACCTGATTCCCATGCCTCGACGTGCGCAGATCCAAGAGGATCGATTTGCTGAGTTTCTGAGCCTCATGAACGGTTGTGAGGAAATCATGCAGCTGTGCCCACTGAAGTGTCTCGAACTGTCCAAGTCATGCACGTATTGGAGCGCTCAAGAAGTGATTGATTTTTGTGTTTATTGGGGATTGAAGCACACATCCATGTATGCGAGATGCGCATATGATGACGCTCGCACGACTCGAGCCAAACACATGTACAGGGTTGCTAGCAATGTTTCGATGTGTATCCCAAGGGCGTGTTCATGCAAGGACCACCAGGGCCTAAACCACCAGAGTCTTGAGCGCCTCGGTCACTATCCAAGAGAGCTAGCTTCGGATTTCGCTGCTTGGCTTTTGGAGTGGACTCGGGCGTCCATTGCGGCCGCGTGAACACGACTTGAATGGGATGAGACAGAATGCATTACAGTGTTTAGATTTTGGGATTGATTTCTTTGAGAGACATGTCTTTGAACTTACATCGTACTCAAAACGATTCGACCCGGATGCATGAAATGTTTCCCCGGCAATGCAAGAAATTCAATAGATAACATAGTTCCATATGTCTTGAAGACTTGAATACAGGGTTCACTAAGTGACCACCTCTCTTTTCTTGCTGCACCTTGGATCTTAGCGATGGCGCCAAAGAGCTCAAAGGTCGTCATCACGATCGATTCGGACAGTCCAACCGATCGAAGTGACTGTCAAGGTCGGTTCTAATACGACTTCCAGCGCTGTGATCGAAGAGACGGGAAGCAGCGGGAGTGCAAGCAATTTGCAAATGAATTGCAAGGGCAAGAGCAAAGGCAAAGCCGAGTCGAGTGCTACGAGTTCATACCCACATGCCGGATCCTCCAAGGACAAGAAGGCTGATTTGTTTACAACCCGTGGTGTGGCCAACGAGTCAGGTGAGATGTCCACAGCTGACAGTGACGACTGGGATAAGATCCCCATGGTCATTCACTCCGATGACGTCGAACCACACCAGCCTGATTACCCACCACCAGGTTGGCCTTCTCCAAGACCTCCGACTGAGTCACCTCCAAGTCCTCACAGCCCGGATCACCCTCCTCCGAGGAACGATCCAAGTCCTGATGAAGCCGCCAGTGATCCGTCTACCTCACCTGCCGAACTTGTGCTCCAAGCAGGTGGTCCGAACCGAGAGACTCAGCCCGGAGAAGTCTTGTGTCTTACACGCAAGTCGGGTCGGGTGTTTCACAAGAGGTCACGCGGCATCTTGAAGCACCGTCCTGATGATGAGCTTCACTTGCCTGTAGGGTTTCGCGGGACTTGTGCAGTTGGAGTGCCGGTCAATCCAGCTCAACGCTTCATGTTTCGCAGCCGAAGCTGATGCATTATGTTTGGCCGGACGGATCCGCGAGGTGCCGACTGTCGGACGGCGCTGTCATTCTTTTGACCGGATGCCGCCAGTGCATTTGGCGCTAGGGAGTGAAGTCGTATGCAGTTTGTTTTGAATAGGTTGATAACCACCTAAATAAATGGACATAGCACTAAGGCTTTCTTGGAGTTGCTTGACTGTTCAATGCAACCACCTCTTCAAAATGTTGCTGCAGCATAAAACTCATTCGGCCGAGCACGATGATCCACGAGAGATCATAACTTGCATTGCAATATGAATCAGGTGAACTTGGAATCCACCAGGATAGCATTGTTTTGTACAACGCAAGTTGAGCAGGTTGTGGGGGGGGTGTGAAACTTCGAAACCACTTCGTTCGATTCGTCCCCTCATACATGAACAACCATGCTCTCCTTTCGTTTCCCTTTTGAGCCTGTTGGTAAGCTAGTTCACTTGAGCGAGTTTTGCCTTGTGCGTTGACACGCACAAATCGAGAAGGTACTAAATCGGCAGTGTGTGACACGCACAAATCGGAAGTGCGATGACACGCACAATTCGAGGATGTACCAAGGACTTGCCACGTTGATCGTGGCTCAAGGTCACGTCAAAAGGCGTGACTGCGGCGCGTGCGGGGCGTCGGGCGCTCGTGGCCACTAGTCGCAGTGGCGGGTTCCGCGGAGGGGGTGTTTTCATTTTGGTTGACCACTGTTAAATCCCTGAAGTGAAACTTCATAGGTGGTGGTGGTGGTGGTGACAAAAACGCATCAAATATCGGCCAAGCATTTTTGCTGCCTTTCTTCCTGCTTCTGTCACATCATGGTTGTGCCTTGATCCACCGGATCATCATAGCGTCGGAACCATCGGCTTCGGAGGCCACACACACACACACTATCAGTCATCCCACAGCCGGGTCGAGAGCGACTCGATTCCTTCGTTTTCGATTCCTTGCATCAAACCCCATTTCGATGTTCGATTCGAGCGGTTCGTTTCGGTGGCGATTCAGCAGCGGTTCGGTTCCTTGTTGGTAGCGCGGTTTCCGATTCCGGATTCGATTCGGAACATTCCTGCTGGGCTGATATAGATGGGGCCACTGATTGACCAACGCGATGAATCACAGAGTTGTTGCCACCTTCATCGTCGGACATATTCCGTTGGTGGCGAAACTATGTGGCTATGATGGGATCATGCAGGTGGCAGCCTTGGCGAAGAGAGCCATCGCCAACAACCGGGCTCCCTACTCCTACTCTGACTTCGCCATTTGGTTGCCGTTTGGGAGGCGCGCTTTAAAGGTCCAGAGGTTGAGGACATACACCCCTCTGGGAGACGGCTCCCATATTATATTGAGGTATATCCGGCCCAGGTTCTTTTCAAGCGTGGGTGTGTGTGGAGAGTGTTCATGTGTGCCGCCTTGATGCTGAACATTGAACATTGTAAACCTTTCTGCGCTGGAGGTGTACTACAAGAGCATCGATAAGCTCGTGATCCCCAGTGTTGGGCGTTGATATAGACGACAATGCCCGTCGTGCGGGGCAGCTGGAAAAGTTGAGACGTCAGTGAGTCAGTTGATGGTTGACGGAGGTAGACGTCGCCCTGCGCCAGAAGACTGGAACCCGAAAGAGCCGTGGTCTTGCGCGTTCAAGATGGTGGTCAAAGACTCGACGTATTGGTTAGAGAGGGTTCGCCACCCTGCGACGGCATGGATTGCAGGCAGCCCAGGAGCGCCAAAGGTGGCGTCGGAGGCAGAAGTCCTTTCGCATCTCCCAGGCACCGTGGGAAACTTCGAGGCGGAGGTTGAAGAGAGACCGAATAAAAGGAAGCTGGCTAACAAGGAGAAGAGGCTGGCGGCAAAGCGAGGCCGCGACCAGCCCAAAGTGGAAAAGGAAGTGGAGGCAAGTCCAAGGATCAGGCTCGCAACGCACTTTGTTTTTTGTTGGGCCTCAGGTTCAGGACCCTGTGCTGAATGCGCTTGTGCCGCGAAGAGGGCGCGCAAGTGTAGGAAGTGCCTTTCCTTCACATCAAGATGATGCCTGTCCGCAGTGAACTGTTGAGGCGGACGAAATAGGCGGTGAAGGGGTCCGTCAAGTTGATAGACATTGAGGCAAGCGAGCAAGTGATAGACGTGGACACGCCGCCAGAACCACACAATGAACAAGATCAGAATGATGCGGAGATAAAGATGCCAACCCTATGGGCCATTTCAAGATCGGCCAGGGAAGCATGAGACACCACATTGGCAGCGCCAGTTGGAACCTGCCATTAGATCAGTGGCCCACGCTTTGCGGATGGAAGTTCGCAAAGTACCACGTCAAGGTGGAGCTGGCGAAGCGCAAGCCGATGAAGATCCCGACCTGCGATCGCGACCAAGTCAGTGGAGGATGGAGCCTGGCTGATCACGTGCAGGTTTGATCAAGCCCTAGGATGACCAGCTGACAGAGAATGTCCGGCTGACTGTGGAAAAGGAGTTCCCCAGGGTGGAGGGTTCGGAGTAGAAGAAACGAATGAACTTTGTCTAGATACTCTTTCCTTCCACGCTCCTGGGCCATCTGTCGTCTAGTATGTTTTGTTGCTGGAGAAGTCCATAGTGGATTTGGTAGGATGGGAGTTTCAAGTTTCAGATGTTATAGACAACAATCCAACCGCATCGGCGAAATTCTTGTATGAACATTATGAACATGTTATATGAGTCTCTTTGAGACATTCATGTGTTCATATTGAATGATGAGGTGAGGTGCCCAAGTAGCAGACCCTGACTTGTGTCCTTTCGTTTTGAGGCCGCAAAGGTTGAAAAACCGCCAGACGAACCTGACCTTGCAGATGTGTTTCCAGGACGCGCTAGAATTCAGGACGGTGATTCTTATTTGATGATGGGTATGACCGCGCATTCATGTGTGTCAGTGGCAACAACCTGGATTCATATAATTGATTTATATTTGGAAATCTCATCTTGTGCAATGATGTTGGGTTTGATTGAGTTGAACTTTATTGTTGCATTTGTGCGCATCCAATATCAAGTTTTAAGCTCAACTGTGCCAAATTTTCATGTACGCCCAAAATAAAAAATCACGATAACATTTTGTTCATTTGCGATCCGTCTGCAAGTCATTGACTGATGGATCAGCAGCGGCCCTAACCAAAAACTGAATTTCAAGGTGCGCAACACCTCGTTTTCAACCGTGCCAGCTTCACCTTATGCGCTGAAGCCTCCCATCAATCTCCACTTCCGGGATGCCGGCCACATGCACGCCACCCTTCAGGCCCTTCAGGCCAGAAACCTTCAAAGGATTGTAGCAGCAGAGATGAGCCTGGAGTATCCTGGAGTCAGTGTACTCCCTTTCAAGTACGCCTCGTACCGAATCGCACTTTGGGTGTCTGGCACTTTTTGCCATGGTCCCGGTCACGGTGGCCAACCTGTCCAGAGTTGAATGACAAAGCTATCCGAATCATCCAGCCACAGCTACAAAAAGAAGAGCATCTACATAAAATGCGGGCTACGCAGGAGCGGCTGATCAAAGCGGTCGTCAATGTCTGCCCTCATCAGCGCATGATCCACAAAGGCCTGGCGGTGATCAGCTTAATCCTCTCTCGGAGGGCCTTTCTGTCCAGCATCAAAGAGAGCAACCACGTTTGAGTCAACCTCGGTGAGGGGATCATGATCACAGCCTTACAAACTGGTTTCGGTGAGTTGTACTCACTGATGTGAATGTCGATCCTTCGCGATCCATATAAATGGAGCGAGCGATCCACCTCATAATATAGGTGGTCCCATCAGCCGAGAACAGGCAGTGCATATTACGGGGCGAAACAAATTCCGGCAACTCCAGCCATAGCCAAAATTGCTGCTCGATAGGGCTCCCCGTGGTGATAGGACGATCTATATAGAATCTAGAAAACGAGCGCTCCAATCGAGCATAGTCTAGTCCATCACCACTAAAGAGGGTACCCCATGATTGCGGCTGCGGATTGATGGCACCAACAGCGGTGGTCGAAGCTTTTTGTCGATCTTTCCCTTCTACTTGTCCTGGCCCTTCGCCTTTTTTCTGAGATTGGGAGCGTGATTTCTTCCTCGTGTCGATGCACTTCTCCCACCAGGTAACTTGCAAGTAGGGCACGGTAGCCTCACATCGACAGCTCCACCGTTGATGCTGCGTTGCTGCGGCTATGGAGGCCCGAGCGAGTCGTCAGAGGTCGACTGCCTCCTCTCCATCGTAGGAGCGTGCTCCCTGGCGTCGCCGCAAATGGCGGTGCCACGCCGGCTCTGTCCCCCACCGCCCACCGCACCACGCCCAGAAAATAGGGACCAAAAGATCAGGCGCACCCATACGCGGACCTATACCTAAGGTTCGCGAAACTTAATCGCACCCTGAGGGGCAACTCATAGCACGACTCGGGGCCTTCACAATAAAACACCCATTGGAAGAAATCCTGACCACAGATCTCCCTTTGTTTTTTGCAGTGGCCGATCGGCTGCATGACGCCGGAAGAGGGCCTCGCCGATCTGCTGAAGAAAAACAGCCACCCCACCAAGCTCAACTTTTGGTGCGGAAGATTGGGGGACGCAGAAGTCGAGGCCGCAGCAGTTTTTTGCTTCGTTGGAAGTGGAGCCTTTTTTGGGGTGGCGAGGCCCTCGCGGACGCCTTGAAAAAAAAACACCGCCATCACCATGATCGACCTCACCTGGAATAAAATTGGAGACGCTGGTGCTAAGGCCGCTGTTTTTGAAGAAACATCTCTCCAATCTTTGCCATTTGAGTGTCAGATTGCATATTCGGCAGGCATTGGCTGAGATGCTAAAGGTGAATACCACCCTCAGAGTTCTCGGCCTCGGTGCAAATCAGATTGGTGACGTTGGTTTTGAGGCCTTTTGTGTCCTTCTGTCAAAGCACCTTTCCAATTGCCCATTAGATTTCACAATTGCACATCGCAGGCATTGGCGGATGCCTTGCAGCACAACAAGACCCTCAGCAAACTCATCCTCGACACGGATAATTCGGAGGAACGTGTTGGTCGCTCCAAAAGAGTCGTTGCTCCTGGTCCCGCTTTGTGACAGGCATGGAATCGAATCAGGGAGCGCCTCAAGGCAAACCGAGAAGCTGCTGTAGAGGCTGCTGGTTGTTGACTTGGGCCCTTTGGTTGTTGTGAAACATGGCTGGCGCCAGGGATTTGTTCATGATAGAATTTATGTTGTTATGCAATCATGTTGCATTATACATGTTTTGTTCATGGTTTCCGAGTTTGATTTCTTTTTGTTGAATCTGTTGGTAAGAAGGCCTTGTAGCAATTGCTTTTCTTGACTTTGAACATATCCAGACGTACTTACTTAGAACGTCTTTCCTCAGCTTTGTCGCAAGTGTCTTTGTGAGAATTTGTGTGGTGATGGTACCCCGTGGCTTGGCAAATTGGATGGTGGAGCTCATTTTTGCGGACTCAGTTTCCAAAGTCTGTCTCATGCAGGGTCTAAAACGAGTGCATTAACATGATTCTGTGAAGCATTTGCTTCCACCTTTCGCATCCTTCTTCACATTTGTCACTGCTTTTGTTCTCGTACAACTCCTCTGTTTGGCTGACTGTTCGGCTGCCCTGGCCTGGCATTGTTGGCTTCTCAAACGCCTGTGATGCCCTTCTCATTGGAATTGTCATTTGCTGCCTGCAGGCATTGGCGGAAGCATTGAAGCACAATAAGACCCTCCCCAAGCTCGACCTCGCTACTTATGGATTTGGTGTTGCTGAAGTTCAGGCTGTCTTTATGAGGATTGAGTTCTGGAACATGAGTTGTTTCAGAAGATTATGTTGCTGGACATGAATTCACATGACTGATTTGGTTGTGTTCAACATTGAAAACTGTTGCCCTTGGTTTGGCTTTGTAGAAGGATCTTCTTGTAGCCATCGCGTTAATGGATCTTTTTGTTGAACTTGCTTGTTACCTTAGCTTTGGTTGAGTGGAATTTGTGTGTTGGCAGCGGTGTTCCAAGAAATTTGAGTTCCTTCTCGTAATGCATTTTGGTTTGGTGGCCAAAGTGTTTCTCACATTTGAGAACCTTGAAGATTGTGTCAGACTTGGATCATTGTGCTTTTCAGAATGGCTTTGGGTCATTGTGTAGGGAGGACTGTGAGCTTGGCCAAATTGAAAAGCGTCCAAGAGTCTGAAACTCCAATTCAATTCCACCCCCCATGATTTGAGCATTAGATACCTGCAGGTTTTGGCCGAAGCGTTGCAGTTCAACACCACCCTCACCAACCTCAACCTTTCTGGACTTCAGATTGGTGATGAGAGTGCTGAGGCCCCTCGCTTTGCTCCGCTTACAGAAGTTTCCAATTTCCGTTAGATTTCACATTGCTGCCCGCAGGCTTTGGCAGCTGCATTGCGGCACAACAAGACCCTCACCAAGCTCCACCTCGGTGCAAATCAGATTGGTCGCTGGGGCTTTGAGGCCTTTTGTTTCCTTCTGTCAAAGCACCTTTCCAATTGCCCATTAGATTTCACATTTGCACATCGCAGGCATTGGCGAATGCCTTGCAGCACAACAAGACCCTCACCAACCTCGACTTCAACCGGGATCATTTTGGCCATTATGAAAGCCACCCTTACCAGGAAAGCGTCGGTCGTTTGCAAGAGTCGTTGCTCCTGTCGCCGCTCTGTGACAGGCATGGAATCGAATCTGGGAGCGCCTCAAGGCAAACCGAGAAGCTGCTGCAGAGGCTGCTGGTTGTGGACTTGGGGCCTTGGATCCTTGAGAAGTGTTGGTATTAGCAATTGTTGTCTTGAGTCTTGAGTTGTTCACTTTTGGACTTGTTTTAACTGTTTCTGACTACTTGACCTTGAACCCATTTAAGTATTTGTAAATCGCTTTGTCGCAATCCAGGGTCCTTTTTGATGACCGTAGTTCCTCTTACAGTACTTGTTCGCTCAGTTTTGTTTCTGCGGTTGAACGTTCATGTTCACGACCGTTCACTCCATACATGTCAAGACAGCTCATCTCGCAGAAGGTGACAGAACTTGTCAAACCGGCCAGCAAGTGCAAAACGGTGTCTAGGTCTAGGGCAGCTTGAACGATAGTTGTCCAACCCAGTAAACCGTGGGTTATGAGCCCAAGGGCGCGCTGTTAAGAGCCTTTGAACCAAGACGGGGATCTTCACAAGCGAGACGACATGAATGTGCTTCAACTGAAGAGCAGCTTCAGCAAATGTGGGCTTGCGGCAAGGGCGGACCTGGAAAGCAGATGCTGGAGTGAGGCCCCGAGAGCTTCCTCGCGCAAAGGTGAGCGGATCCCTCAGAGCGGACCCGGGCTCCAGGTAGACATCGGCAAGGCTTGATCCATCCCACAGGACCTCCTGTGATCCTGAGCCCGTCGCCAGCGAAGATGGAGGGTGAAGGGGGCGGTGGTGTTAGAAGAATTGCAGCGCAAGTGGGGTGGGTGGCTCGCTGGCGGCCTATGGTGGTCCTTCTGCGTCGGCGGGCGCTTTTCTCTTCCTGATAGCCATGTGGCGTTGCATGGTGGACGGCTTCATAAACCTTGTGATGTACACGGAGTTCTTCCGGATCGCCACCACATGGTGGAGGACCTCAACCTTGTGATGTAAGTTCTTCCGGAAAATCATGTGGCGTTGTTTGATGGAGGATGTTAAAATGTGTCCCAAAATGATCTTCCTGGGGGGACAAGGTTGACGCCAAGTTCATCCTGGTCTCAACAAGATGGTTCGGCCCTGTTTGGTGGACCACAAGTAGTACCCCTTCGTCCATGTCAACGTGCCTCCTGGTCAATCTGTTGGGCCTACGTCGTTGAGCGGTGAAAGGCTTACGGAGATTTTGAAAACCTTTGACGCGCGCCGAAGCCTGAAGTTTGGTGACTGGATGTCTCTGGTGGATGCTCAAATGGCGGATCTCTCATACGCTTCCACTGTGGTGAAGGACGCTGTGGATTGGTGCTACAAGCAGTGACAAGCTGAAGCCATGATAGATGGCCAAGAACTGAAAAAAGGGTATTGGCTATGCTTTTGGCGGCTATCGTGCTCTTCAAGCTCTACACTCAACGTCAACCTGGAGGAGCGGCTGAGAGGACCAAGTTGTTACGTTTGTTGGTTGTTTCAAAAAATGGGCGCCAGTGTGCTGGAAAGGTTGAGAATTTCGAGGTGGAACCGGGGATGAGCTTCAGAGTTGGGAGTTCAGGTGCTGGACCCTTTGGTGTTGGTGGGCTGGTCAGTAAAGTGTCTTGTCAGGCGGCTTACAAATTCAACTCGCGAGGCAGCAGTTGAACTTGGATGGGAACCCCTTGCTTTGCAAGAGGACCTACAACAACGGCTTGCTCAAAGGTATGCTTGCTATGCCTACAGCACTTGTCCCGATGTTTGATGTTGAAGAAGATGAAAAGGCAGCGACAGGGCCAAGGAGCAGTTGGCCACACAAATGCGCGCATGGCGCGCGAGGAGAAACCTGTTTCAGTCGCTCGCGGCAGGAGATGATCTATGGAAAGAAGAGCACGCCTCCTACTACATCAAACCAAGTGGATCAAGCTCTTCGATTTCAGACGTCAGCTGGGTGACCCAGTGTTGCCCATGTTGCCCTTTTGGCCGATGGTGGTCAGGAGGAAAAGAGGGCGTGGACTTATTGTTGTGCGCGAGCCCTCTGATCACTTCTGGTTGGGTTGATTTGGGCTGTCAAAACTCTGGACGGCCAAGGCCGACATATTCGAAACTCTTGGTGAGCGTGATTCAAAAACCGCAGCCCATGCCAGGTGATCCACCTCGTGTTCCTATGGTTCCTCTACCTGCAACAAGCAGTGAAAATGTACCACTTCGCCTTGAGCCTGCTCCTTTGGTGGAAGGCTTGAAACAGCCGAGCCCAGCTGCTTTGCAATTTGGGGAGCCACCCGGGGGGAGTCTTTTGGGGTGGAGGCTTTGGGTTCAGACTTTGGAAGATGGTTCAATAGCGAGAAGAGGACGTTTTAGGGGGAAGATCATGGACGAGGAGTTCGCTGGCAGAAGGGGGTAATTCAGGAACAAGGGCTTCGACGAGATTGCCCGGCTTGTTGCCAGGTCTTGCAACCTGATACTCCTAACCGTGGACCTCATGCAAATCTGCCTTGAGCTCGTTCCATGGATGTTGGACGTCAGCTTCGCTCCGGCTGGTGGCAGGTCCCTCCAACATCTCAAAAAGGCAGGTGTGGTGAGTGTGGTGGGACGATTTTGAAAGGTTCCAAGATGCCTGGAGGGAAGGTGAAAAACCGCTCACTCCATACACGTTCAAGACAATTCATCTCACACAAGTTGACAGAACTTTTCAAAACGGCCCACGACATTTGGCTCAAGTGGCGCCACATGAAAAAAGGTGTCTAGGGCAGCTTGAAAGATAATTGTCCAACCCAGTAAACCGTGGTTTTTATTGGAGCTGCATGTCGGCAATGGTACTCGTATCACGGTTCAAAACATTGAGTCAGAATTGGTTTGTTGTCGTGCTTTGTCCTTGTCGCAGCAAGCTCTGACACCTGCAGGCTTAAACTGCGGGCGGCTCGGGAACCTATCCGCAGATGGCCAGTCAAAAAAGGCTGAGCATGGCTGAGTTGGGGCTTGTGCCGTTTTTAGAGTGAAGAAGTATGTCTGTGTCATGGGAATTCTCATTTTCTTCCTGGGTGCACTTTTCTTATCCGCGTGCTTGCTCTTGGAGTTATAGGACAAGCTGCGCACATGACAAAGCTAGCCATTCAGCCCTTCCTTTGCAGCAGGGAAGTTTCTTGGCCTTAGGATTTTTTTGAAGGTTACCCACGCTCTAGCTGTAAACTGCGCAGGCAACTTTCTGAGAACGCAAAAGTCTCAGCAGAACTTGGCAGAGCAGCAAACTTGAATATCTGCGTTTTTGTGCACATGATAGTTCAGCAGAGATGACACCGAGCTAGATGCCGAGCCCCCCAGAACAGAACTTTTTTGAGTGCGATCCTTGATGAAGACTTTTGTTTGAGGCCGTTGTCTATCACGGTGAGGATCTCAGAGCAGCACATTTGGGTGGCTCTTGCCATCTGCAGGTGTTGCCGAATAGTGTGTGGCCACGGGGGCCTTTGACTGGCTCAGGCTCCGGGCGGAAGGGAGAACATGTCCTCAAAACATGTGGTCAAACAAGACCAATAAGATACAAGAATAAGACAGAGCAAAATGAAATGCAGGCAAACCTTGCGCGCATGAGGAAAAGCAATCCGATATGTCCTCCGTTGAGAAAAGGCATTCACCTGGAAGAGCGGCGCCATGAGTCTCTCGCAGCCTCGTTTGTCCAGGAAGGCAGGGGGTGACCAAAAGAGAATGTTATCAATGAGTTATATTCAAGAGTAGTGAAACCAGGGTTTCTCTTTACTACTCAGGAAGAGCCTCAAAGAGAATGTGCCAACCAACTCCAACAATCTCCAAGCCAGATGCGTGGCCCACCCATGTATGGGCACGAAAGCAACTTCCTTTCACGAAGGAAAGAACCACGAGCGTGTTCATTCATTCTGCAGGTTCTGGCTTTGCACGATGAAGCTACTGTGCCAGCTGAAGACGACACTTCATTCCTTCCGTCGCTTGCCTGGCGGATCTAAAGCAGGACTCCGCCTTTTCTGTTATTTCTGTTGGGGCGGGTAGTCAGAGATCTTCCCCCCACGCCTCGCGGGAGCGGCGCCCAAGGCATCGGATGAGCGCCTCGGCGGGCGCGCGCAGCGGCGCCACGCGGCCCGCGCGGGGGCGGCGCTCGCGGCCGCAGTCGGCGCCGTCGCGGCCCACGCGGCCGATGGACTGGGAGGAGTTCTTGCGGAGGCAGACTGCAAATGAAGGAGAGGAAAATTTGGGCAGTGAACGTCAGAGCCATGAAGAGAATGAAGGAAATAAACATGCTAGGAAAAGGGGTTCAACAAAGGTTATTTGTTCCCTGGGTTGTGTGCTTGTGGGAGCCACATGCTGAGAGGACTGGTCAGAAGATCTTTGCATGCAAGCGTGCGTCGTGCCTGTCTCGAGCAGAAGCATATCACGAAGAATGCGCTGAGTGGAAACCAGGGAAGACGTGGCTTTTGCGATTTTTTGAGGACTCAGCAGCATGCTCAAAAAACTGCCGCCAGTGCAAAACTGCAAGTAGACACCTGGCCTCATTTGGGACTTTGTTCACCCCTCACAATACCTGCTGTCTCCGCCAGGAGGCAATATGGCACTGTGCTGGCTGGATGGCGGACTATGGACCTGGACCAGAAAGGCTACCTGTGCTTTCAGGAATTCTGCCAAAGTTGCAGGGAGATGCTCTTTGATGGCGACGTGCGAAGCCTGTGGCGCGAGTTAGCATGTCAGCGGGACTTCATCACTTTGAAGGAGCTCCGGCAGCAAGCTTTAGTCCAAGGAAGAATGGACACAAAGCCCTTCTGAGGCTCAAGAAGGTGGAACGTTCCCCTCTCATCCCGTTCCTTCATGCACATGTGTCTTCCATTTTATTCCTTTAGTTTCTCTGGGAGAGCCTGGAAATCCCGCACGCCGCTGGTTGTTTTTTTGTCGCGCCTCGGTCGTCCAATTCCGTGTTGGCACCGTTTGTTTGGGCCGTTGAGGAGGTGTGTCCCGAAGTGGCCCGGCACGTCAGTGCGATGAAGAAGGCAAGGCTGGAGAGAGTCAAGAATTAGGGGGTCTTGGTTTTGCTTCAAGACATGCTAGGATCAGATTTGGTAAGCCCCAGGTCTACAAAAGAATCCATAGCACGTGAGCCGGACACGCAGGTCATTCTCCAACTCTACGGCAACATGTTGCGGCCTCAGCTTGCCTCAAGGATTCCTATTCCTATGGTACAACTTTGCGTCACACCAGAAACATGCTGCAAACGGTGCAAGCTGCATCATTTGACATCACAAAAATTGAACAAAGCAGAGACGACAGAAGCTCGAAGCAGGAAGCACCTCATATGATTCTTTCCACTCAAGGTTCCTGCCAGCCTCACTTTTTTGCATTTCTTTTCCAGTGCATATTGATACCGTAGCCTGTGTGGTATCTCTGTGGCAAGTTGGCAGTGGTAACCCCATATCCCAAAAGGATGACCGGATGGTGGAAGTCTTTGGATCGTGATCGCAAGGGCTTCGCCGGGAGCCTCAGAGACTCCGTGCGCAGACGCCGTTGGAGGACGCCCCAAAACCCTTTGGGTTTTCCGGTCGCAGCCCAGCCTCCGATCTACCACAGGAGGCCTTTGCTTTGCTTTACCTTCTGCGGTGTCGAAAGCACAAGCGACACTTGTTTTCAGGTTACGGAGCCCGAATTTGTCGCCGCCATTCGTCTCCTCCAGCCGGGCCCCCGTTGAGACCAGCGATGTGGAGCGAAGAGCGATGGATTGTGAGTTGGCTCAGGAAGAAGGCCCCGGAGTACAAGGCCGAGCCTCATGAGCTCTTTCGAATGCCCGGCCCCCATGCGGTTGGATGAGTTGTATTAGAAGCGTGGTTGGTAAGGTTGAGAGTAGTTCAGGGTCGCGCGTTCCCACTCTTTTTTCATGGGGAATGCGTGTGATCAAATAAACACAGGTTATTCCAGGGCTGAGGGTTATTCCACTACTACAGGTCGCGGGTGCTTGTCATCTGTCGGTCATCGGTGGGGGCCAACCTGCAAATGATGTCCTAAGGTTTGTTCCCAGCGGTGCCAGCAAGCTGTCGCTGGCCGAGCCAGACACTCGAGGAGCATCGTTTCAAGATGCCCAAGCCGTCCAGTCCGTCGTGTCAGGTGCATGACTAGTGAGGCGGCCAAGGATTTTTGTTGCAAAAGAATGGGATCTTCCGCTCACTTAGTCTTCACACGGCGGCCACCACCAAGAGGTATACTGAATGGACTCACATCCAACCGGCTCCCCTCATCCAACAGCGTTTTGCTCCCAAATCCCTGGCCCGCCAGATGGCGCTCGTTGGATGCCGATGCACCGACCGAGGTTTGACCCGCGGACCTGGTCGAAGATCTGCTCCGGTGAGCTGCGCCGGGAGAAGCCGCAGAACGTGGAGACCTGGAGGTGAGGGCGCGGTGGAGTCGCTGGGGGATGGAAATGGTGGTGGGTTCAGTTAATATAGAAAGTTGGTGAACATTCCTGGTTAGTAAATGGAAGTGTCAGAGAAGAGAAGATAGTTGCCTTGTTCTAGGGGTGCATTTGTATGGCGAAGACTTTGTCACCGGTCATGGAGAGCACATGGAGAGGAAGGAGATGTTCCCAACTGTGTTTCAAGCCTTTTGTGCCCACCATTGCAGCTGTGTCTTCGCTATGCAAATTGATCAGAATTGTGCGGATTGATTGCACCCACGATTCCATGAACACAACCAACGAACACTCAGTCAAACTCAGAACTGGAATCGCCATTGGCCCTTCTTGTTCTCCAGCCCCTTTTGGACTCCAAACGTCCCGAACCAGACGCTCCACACCGAAGGCGCCTGTCGGCCAAGTGCACGCGCCGGGAGCTTGGTGGTCGTTGGTTTTCGCATGGCGCGTCGCGGGTTCGCCTGCGGGCGCGAACGTGCTGGGTGAGGCTATTGTCCCTACCGGCCCTACCGGCCTGAGGAGCAGGTGAGGGAGGAAAGGCTCAATGGGAATTTGTTCAAAGAGTGAGTATCTAATAGTTAGAATGGGCCTTGCCCATCTTCCAACCCTGAACCCCAAACCTCACATCCCCCAACATACACACAACATACACAACATTTCACAAACATATCATCAAAACTAACCACACAAACCCAAACCCAAAACCAATCATAACAATCAACCACAAGCCCGAATCCAAATACAACTCCAAATTTTCAACAAGACTTGTCTTGTTGAAAAATTGCCCGCCTAAATGTACATAAACAATATTAATCAAACAATAATCCATAAATCACAACACCAACCAATTACACACCCAACCTCAAAAATTCTAACAGCATAACCTTGCCCCACTAGATATAACCCCAAAAATTATGTTATAATTTCTGTGGTAAATTGTCGGGCAAGGTTATGTTGATAGAAAAAATATGTTTATATATATATATATTTTCAGTTTGTTGTTTTAAGTAGTCTTGATGTTGTTTTGTTTTGGTGTTTTGCTTTTGAACTAAAGCAAAGAATTGCTCCACATTCACAAGTGTATTCTTGTTGTCTGTATGCTTGTCTCTTTTCTTTGTTTATTTTGTCATATTTTTTGAAATACTGCTGTAACACAATGTGGGGTTGTTTCACTGTTTACTGTGAGCATTGCTCCATTACCTTGAACCGCAACGCTGTGCATGAAGACGTCTCTGCTTCGAGCCCGTGGACAATATGTCTACTTCAACTCATTTGGCTCAAGAGTGGTAAAAGGGCGTTCATCCGATTTTACGTGGTTATCAGCCGTAGCTCCTGTTCATTGCGCCTTGCGCGCTGCATTCTCTTCACCTTTCTGGCTTCCTTTGCTGCGCCTTCTCAGAAAGACTCTTGGTGCATAGGGCTGGCCGAGTTTGATGTGGCTTTATGCCACCGAGGGAGAGGGGTGAGCGTGGTGGGAAGAAGGTTCAGAGAAGTAAGCGGCTTGCTGCAGATACTCTTCGGGGATCCCACACTCCCACAACTAGGCCATCATCCGAAGCAGGGTTGTCTCGCATCGGAGCTGTGGAAAAACAGGTTGTGTTCAGTGAAGCTGCTTCCCCGAACAGTGCGCAATCTTCTCTTCACCCCACCTGTTCCCCAAACACGTTAGCCGTGAGTTCGCACGATCTGTCGTCGGAAAAGTTCAGCACTCCATCTGTTACTCATTTGAAAGCTTTTGGCGGGTGCCTGACTAGCCGACTTGTTCAGGGTTGGTAGCTGAACGAACCTCTCTGCCCTGCGCTTGCGCGGGAGAAGACTGTCCAAGCAGCTAACCTTTTGGTTGGAGTCTCGGTTTGATTGGTAACCCGTTGCAATGGAGGAAAATTCAGGAAGCTTTCAGCCGAGCTGCACTAGCTCAACTTCAGGTGTTCCAGGAGTTCCCGCGGTAGGTGGTGCATCAAGGGAGTCCTCGAGTGGAGCAAGTTCAGAGACCAGAAGACATAGACCAAGGAAGAGTGAAGTAACCCCATACTCCCGGCCCCCAAGGGTTGATGCGATGGTAGAGCAGTCACAAAGTGGATCACCTTCTAGCCTTCCCCCCTTGGAGGATCGAACGCAAAACCACGCAATGGGTCATGCGGAAAGCCCGCATTCCACTACCTTCCAAGAGTTTCGCGACCAACGATCGATCAATGTAGATCAAAGAACCATGAATGTTCATTCTGGCGTTGACCCGCGTATGATCTCCCAACTGGCTGGTGCAGCTGCAGCTGGCGAAGTGCGGGCCGAGGCCGCATCAGTTGTCACTCAAGTAGTGCTAGAGGCAACAGGAGCACTGTCTCAAGCTCAGAGGGAAACATCTCAAGCTCAGGCCCTTGCAGAAGTGACTCGGGTACAAGCAATGGGTGAAATTCAACAGTTGAGAGATCAACTTGGTGCCACCAGCCTGCATGCGACTGCGCAGGTGGAGGCGCTCCAAAGGGCATCGTACCAAATAGATAGTTTACAGAATGAGTTGCGTGAATCTTCTTATAGGGAAGAGTTGTTGAATGATCAGATCAGAGCGTTAGGAAATGAAGTTGCTAGGATGAAATCTGCACTTGCCCAAAGCCCTCAACAAAGACATGATGCGTTGAGTAATCAGGAGTTCCCCTATACACCACCAAGTCCTAATGGAACGGGATTGGCAGCGGCCAGGATGATTGCGTTGGAAGAAAGGGCGCGGGTGGTCGAAGATCAACTTGCTGTTCAACGCAACATCCTGCAAGATTTGTGGCAAAGTACCAATGTTGCCCCGTCACCTTCCAGAGTTGCCTCTCCGACGGTTCGGCCCTTCAGCCCGCTTCCAAAGGAAGGGGGTGACGGATCGCCTTCCCATTTCCACATCCCGGATCAAGATCCGGATGACGAAGGGAGTGACTTAGATCAGCCAGGTTGCTCAGGCAGAAAGACCTTCATCACTTGAAGTTGCCACCTTTGCCCGAATCAGCTGCACAGTGTCGCACTTGGCGCAACTCAGTTCGCACTGCATTTCTGGCTTTCGACCTTTCAGCAGAAGGAGTCCTGACCTCATGGTTAGGAAAAGCGTTCCACGCAAGGGGGACGGACGCTATGGTTCTAGCTTCTGATAGCGAGGGTTTCCCAAGGCTGGATAGGGTTATTGCTAGTTTGCTGTGTAGACAAGAGGTTCTCAAATCTAGTTTCGGTCTCAAGGTTCAGGCCTACGTGGAATCTTGTGAAATGTCGGGAGATTGCACCAGGGGAAGGGTAATATTGAACATGATCGCCTCTGAGTATGACACCACTCATGCCTCTTCCTCTATCACTTCCAGTTTGGACTTGTTTCAACTACCAGCTCCTCATGACTCATCGGCAGGGTTGAAGTTATGGCATGATAGGTGTACGTATATTCTTTCTCAGCTGGCTTTGAACGACCTTCTGAGAAATTGCTGTCTCAGTGGGCTTACAACAGCTTGAAAAGGCACCACCTCATGCGTAGGCCAATTGACCGCTATGTTGAGGACCCTTCCATGCGAACTTTTGAGCATTTGTGGTCAGGTGTTGAAAGTGCTTTGAAAGAATCTCAATATGATTCGAACGCCCAGAGCATTCGTGATGATT